ATAAAACATTATAAACCAAAATTTAAAGCAAATCGGATAAAAATGTAGATTTAATTGAAATATCGGACAAATTGTAGGATGATGGAAAAGAAACGATAAAAAAAAGGGTGATCCAAACTGGTAATAGTGTTATAGACACAAGTCAAAGCACAACCAGGAGGAAGAGAGTACCGTTACGCAAATAACTGAAATTTGACGATCAGCTGATTTTCTTTTGCCTCCAATCTCTCTATAGATCTTGATAAGATACACGGTACGGTCTCGTGAAAGGGAATGAATGGATTCAAAAAACATGGACATGAGAGAATCTAGAAAAATACAAACATGCGATAAAAAGCATGATAAGTACATCATATTTGCAAGCAGACGTCCAATGAATGATTATACAGTAAAAAGCTCCGTTCCAACTTACCGTCTGTCCAACATTCACAGAATAAGTAGAAATGATACAATTTGGAATGGACTGACATTCGTCTCACAGAGACGAAAGTTTTGATGACCAAAGGAGAAACCGTTTGAACTTGAACGGGATAGGGCACGGTATACATTGTATTCAATTAACAATACAATTGAAATCCATTCATTTCTCGTACTTTATGCGCGCGTACAACTAATAATCCTTGTCGTAATAGGCTTGTAATTATCTTGCACGAGATCCATACTGGTCATTCCGATTCACTTGTCCTCCTCTTTCGCTCCCACCATTGTATCTCGACGTCTTCTCTTTATAATGATCCCTCTCTCTGGAACCGGATTTGCTAGATAATCCTGTTGGAGAAGGTCGAACGCAGAATCTAAAAAGTCCTCGAGCGTCCTCCATTGAAAAAATATGGGTTTTTGGGAGTCCTGTTTCACTGACAAAATGCGGGGAGATGTCGATGCCTTGAAAGGTGGGGAAGGAGCGTTCGCGAGTCGTATCGCGGATCCATGACGTTGGATCGTCCCTGTAAAATTAGATATATTTACACATATGTTAGAGAAAAGTGTACGTGTACGTGCCAAGTTTTTAATAGTAGCCATTGCGAAAAAGACGGTAGAATGGACAGATAAAGGAGACAGTGAACCTGTCTCGGGTGCTGTATACAATCTAATAAAGCACGATTGAGATTCCTTAAAGAATAAAAAATACGTATTCCCAACTCTATATACTCACCCAAATTTAAAATTAGACAAAGGCGATGAACCTTGCATAGACATAAAGTAGCTTCCTCGCAAGACGTAATTAGACGTATAATGCTCGTTGCCAAACCTCTGCGTGGAATAATGGTTAAACCACCGTCTCATAATGACGATAATTAATTCGTCACCGGATTTCAGGATCCGAAGTGACAAATAAAGATCGGGTATCATAGAGAGTTCGCAACAGTCATCGGAGAAGTCGAGAACTTTGAGTTTTGAAAGATAATAGTCATTGTGCAAGTCGGCAGAATGCATGTCGAGCAACATTTTGCGGATAGAAAGTGAGAGGGAGATGGAGATATATAAAGAGGGGAGATATCGTGTTTATGGTACTAATATGCGTACAGGTTAGGTCTATAAAGAATGACTGAACAGCTAGTGTTGTGTGGATAGCGAAAGTATCCTTCGCAATGGACGAGAAGAATAATTGTGTGCACAGACTTGTGCTTATGAGAGAGGGCGACGAAGGTGGACTCCTTTTATGCAAATTGGCTCTGTGTTGAATGAAACAGTTTGAAGCGACAATTCTGTTTGTTCTGTATAATCGTATGCAGCATTTGTGATTTCATTGCCTATAGAATTCTCTCACATATGATAGTGGTCTGAAAATGTCTACTTTGCATAGAAAGGAATGAAAATAGGCAAAGGTGCGTCTAGCATTTAATTCCAAAGTCGAGCAGGCAATGGACATAGACGTTGCCCATTTTTATATTATTACAATTAAATTGAATACACTATTTCATACAAATGTTAATTACATAATATATTTCATATGTTGATATACGTGTATTAGTATACAGTCTTATATATTTATGCTGTTTATACTGGTATCACTAACCATACTTGATAATAAATGGTCACAAATCAATATATTATGTCGAATGGCAATATTATCAATGTTAGTTATTATCGCCATTTAATTTTTACAATATAATTTGTAAATTATCCCCATAATAAATCTTTATTATTACTATTTATAAATATTTTCGGTTATCGTTTGTCACTTGCCTTATTTTGGTAATTTGTAACATGTTCTCGTATCACACGTAAGCCTCTCCCTCTCAGATATCCATAAAAAAAAGATTTCCTTATCCTCCTATTGCATATTGTTGTGATTCGTAGATCGTAATGTGTGGGAGTTGAGAAATTATATATCACCATCGTACGAGCGATATTATCTGGGAATATAATAAGCGTTTCTTTATTATAATGAAAAAAAAGGGCCACATATATACTTAAAATATTTGCATGAGTACATTTCTGTTGATGTTCCATTGCGTAAAGAATTGGAAGTTGGGCGTTTTTGTTCAACCCATTTCGATCATGGAATGGTATATATATTATATTTGTATAGTATATAGTATACGGTATATAATTGAACTTCCAATCAGTGGTTACCCGACCATGGTCCGTGCACTATTAATTCGAATCGAATAAACAATATGCAAATACTAAGTCATATATTTACTTACTATTAATTCGAATCGAATAAACAATATGCAAATACTAAGTCATATATTTACTTTAAGTTATTGATTATTCTTGTAATCACATCTTTTTGTTTGTTACGAGATTCTAAAAAATTTGTTTATGGCTTAGCAATTTATTAAGTGTAACCCTCTATCCCCACACATTCACAGCCACTGCAACTATATAGTATTACCAAACGAAATAGGGATTGAACCTCCGGGACTTTTAAAACGCTCATGAATTTGAAACAGCTACGCACGCAAAAGATGGCAGTGCTAAGAGATGGTAAGCGTGGATTGGAGAGGTTCTGAGCGTCGAGATTTCATTCTCTTCACGGTTTATATTATCGTTACTGGCTTACGCAAGTCCTCGGCTCATTATCCATCCTAAAAACATGGCTCATTCATTTCTTTCGAATATTAGTCTTCCCTCAACTCTTTTTCTGTTGGCTCATTCCTTTAAAGTCTCTAACCAGGGATAGTCTTGAACGCGTGGTATTAACGTATGATCGTTAGATACCAATCAGTTTCAAACGGACGGCCATAATATAGGAAGAACTCCGGCCATAAATTGCTGATTTGGGGCAAGTTATAATGTAAAGGGTAAGGCTATTGCTATAAAGCTATATCTGATCTAGTCATTTGACATGCATAAACCTGGATAATAACGTCATTTGTCCGATAAGACGGTTTTAATGAGCACACGAGATATGTATACGGTATATGACAATCTCCCGAATTTGTCTCCTTGTTTATCTGTGAATGAGCTAAATGTTTATTCAAAGCGAATGTACGTTCTTCATGTCCGAATATTAACTTCGCTTAACAGAAAGTGTAAACATGCGAATCCCTGCTTTCTTGACTCTACTAACCTTATATGCATACATTATGAAGCGACTAATTTGGCACAGTCCGAATTTGTCGCTAGTATTTCAGTTGACAAGCTCCAAATTGACACATGTCATATCGAGGTAACCGTCTTAATCCCCTTCCCCGTCTGGCAGAAACCAGGTTTTTGAATTCAGCGAGGCGTCGGATTGTTATTATCCTCATGATTCTACTTGATAAAACGTTAAGTGGAATCTCTTTATTCTTATGTATATCTCCTGTTTCACGAGTCCTCTCTGCTCGCAAGCGAGCAGATGTTCACGCGTTGCTTTACAAAGGCTTTCTCTTTCTGCTGTTCTGCTTTGCTTCAATACCAGGAAAGGATTGGATTTGCAATAAAAACACAAAGAAGTCGTTTATTATGAAACGAAAGCGTTTCCGTTGCATAAAATGAAAATTTACTATCTTTTATTCAACATATGCTATCTGTTGTGGAAATCTTCGGTTTTATTTGTGTCCATACTGAAACTCCATTTAACACGATCATCGATTCAATATGCGCGAGCAAATCGTACAAAGTATAGTCTGCCTAAATGACGACCAATTGCAAATGAAAGAAAAACGATGTTCATAAGTCAGGGGGGAAGAGTCATTAAAGTTTGTTCCCGTGATTATGCGTTACGCAGATTTTGAAACACATCAGGCAGGGAACAATGGAGATGAGCAGTTGTTTGTCTTTGATGATTTATGACACGAGATGAGAATCTAGAATCTTTCACAATGTTTAGCATGCGATACCAAAAAAAGTATGGGTTAAAATATTTTACTTATTTTTGGGTGTGTAAATGTACGGTGTATCCCAGGCCAAAAATCCTGAGACCCGAAATCTGAGACTGGAGAAAATTTCGCAGAGTAAGCAGGATATAGTTTTGAGGATTACTAAAAGTTTAGTTAGATTGATATTAGAAAAAAGTAGACATGTCTTAAACTTTTTTTAATAATTTTTTTTCTTTTTGAGCGAAATCGTCAAATTTTACTATTGCCCATAGGGTGAACTAAATTTCATGCCTAGCATTGTACAATTTGTTATTGAAAACGTGCGTAATTATGTCATGCGTCATAAGAAAATCAATAAACATCTCATTATTGACGAACAGCACATTGTGCTGATATCATTTAATATCTTCACCCGTATTCCTCCGACATGTATACCTCCCCCCCTGTGAGATGCCAAAATTTTTATTTATCCTCCGGTGTATATGCGTTACTTGTGGTCATGTATTTTATGATATTATGAACACTAAAAATGCTTTTTAGATTAAAATGAGTAAATACTGCTAATAATAATGAATAATTATGGTTTCATTTGACACGAGTACCCCGGCTACATATGTCGGAAGAATACGCAAGTTTTTATTTGATTTGAATAGAGTTATTAGCAACTCTGAATCATTGATGTGTCAAAAATCTTCTATTGATACCATATGCTTGGCAGAAGAAATGATTGATGAGTCATTATCGCAATAAATGAATAACTATTAATTAATTCTTGCTTACGAAAGAATCTACTACAGGCAAATTGATCTCTAATCCTAGTCTCTAGTCTCAAGCCTCAGATTTCAGACCTCAAATTCAGACCTTGGACTCTGTATTAATATAATATTAACCAAGCTATGGAAACTATAAATTTGACAATTTCATATGTGTCTCAGGCCTTAGGTCTCAGGTTTTTGTAACCTTTGTACCTATCAATACTAGAATCGGACTCTACTGTATTGGTTGCTCCGTCAAGATAATAGCACTCTCACTTCTTATAGTCTTAAAACTATAATACAAAGCTGTCTCGATTACGGAAACAAAGAGTGAACGTTCTAACTAATACAGAAAAACAGCAATTAACCGTCGGTTATCATTATTCTTTCTAACGTAAACACTATCATGAAAAGGTTGCTTATCGTGATTGATTTGTTCCGTTATAATAATTTTGTCTCATAATTGTGAGTGAGCACTTGACGATTAAAAAACTTCTATCTACTTTATGACAAGATAATTTCTTATTAATTAATGAAATATTTAAATGATAGATAATAGCACAAACCGACGCCTAGTCTTGTTTCATGTGTAATAGTTACGATATTAGGTATTAAAAATACTTGCAATCGTTGATTATTATTAAACTAGAAAATCAGATGCAAAAGCTATTGACAGTATTATACGTACTTGGGAATCTGCGCTCTGCTTGCCGCAACCAAATATCAATCTAGTGTTCGAAGAAAATTTCCATTTAAAAACTATAGACTTTTGAACAAACGTTGCGTTATTGTCATAGATAAGGATTGCATTACTATAATTCACGAATAAATAATTTGATTTGGGTTTTCCATTTTGTTTCTATTTAGAAGAGTGTGCGCCTTTAATTTGTTAGATTAATTCAGCCATCCAAACTGTTGTTAATCACGACACGAAATATCGTTCTCGCGTAATTTCATAAAAGATAATTCCATTCGTTATAATTATTTGGTACTTGAATTAAAGAATTATTTTTTTCAATAGTGTACTTTATTTTGTAATGTTATGGACTAGAGATAATTTAATTAACAAATAAAAACAATATAATAATGAAACAATATGTCGATGACAAAATTTGCTCGCACTTGCAACACGTTTTAGACCCGGTGATACCAACGTCAGGGAAATTTTTTACCAAATTTAAGTGCGTCAAAGATTTAGATTTAAGCAAATTATAAAAATGTCTCTTTTTGAAAATGCGACAATTAAGACATGGAAAGTTGGGGAAATGGTTACATGTATTTTAAATAAAAACTATGTAATATCTTAGTTTATACAACAGTGGACGTAATTAGACACTGTTAACACTGCTTATTGTTGATAATTTGTTTTAAAGCCTTTAATTTAGCTATTAAATACATAAAATTTATTAATTCTGGACAAATGCGTACAGTTTCTGTAATAGTCTTTGTTGTCGTGCTGTTCCACAAACTAAAAGTAACTTTGATTTGTATGGTTAAATATTTGAGTTATCAATTTGTCTAACGCGTCATAACCCTACATTTTAATTGTTAAATATTTCATGCCAGATTATCGAAATATAAGTAAATTTTACCGCTACTTTTCTTCTTTTTATTTGCTAAAAATTACATTTGTTTATTTTTTCAAACGATCTCCGTTTATTTATTTCCGTAAAAGTATACAAGTAATCTTTAGCAAATATATGTGTATTTGCGGTTTTGCGTCGTTGTCAGCTGTTTAATATAACTATAACTTCAGAAAAAGGGAATTCTGAAATATTTCAAATAATCCAGGTTAAAAGATAACAAGTTAATCTACATAATTACGTAATGACTTTTGTTCTTCTTTATTTATGTTCTGGCCCGCAGCCGAATTCAAAATCGTCCGGCCCAGTTCGAAATAATCACGGTTTTTTAGCACATAATAATAACAATGTGATTAAATGTCGCTGTAGAGCCCATTCTGGGATTTGGCCGAGAATGCGTCAAACCGTTTCAATGTTGGCTGTTGCATGTTCAAAACATTCCTTCAATTTGTGTGTTCATTTGGTTTTTAGTAAATTTTATTTTTGCCATACGTGTCACGTACTTTTCAATGTTGTCACATAAGTTATGCAGTTTGTTGGGTCAAGAGATCATTGTAATGTGACAATCCCGAAACTGGTCAGATGGCACAACATCGCTTATTGGTTGTTGTGATATTAGACAATGTATCATCTACGAGCCAAATTTACGTTTCACGAAACGTTTGAGCGTGTTTGTGTGACATACTTTCACGCAGGGACTTTTCATCTGTTACCATCGGCAAATGTTTTTATCTGCTAGAATAGTTTATAATTTTATCGAGACGCCGAATCAGGGATTGGATCAACCGAACCAACTCATACATTAGGAAAGCGGATAATTTACTTCACTGAGATAGCTCGATTGGATTCCGTATCCGTTTAGCACAATGCATATCAGGTCGGTCTCTCTTTGTGATCGATCGTAATTATTCAATAATCATTTATTTTTATTGCTCACTTTTGCCTCCCCCCCCCCCCCTCCCTTAGCGGTAATTTGCAGGTAATGTACGGTTTGTAAGCCCATTATTTCTCAATCCACTTTTATTTATTTTTTTTTGAAAACTTAGTCTTAGCGGTCTGGTATTATGGGTCTATATAAGCAGAGGATATTTATGGATTAATCAATATGTCTATGGGAGATGCTTCGCTTTGACACAATTTTGCAGTCTTGAGGGGTCATTCACGTCAATAAGAAGGGTGAAGAACATTAAAACTACAGCGGAACGTTCCAATTGACAAAAGCAAACCCGCAATTTAAAAGAAAATGAAACTCCCAATTATTCTGTTGTCTGGGATGGTTTAAAGAAGCACAATTGATTCTAATGGTAACACACATGCGGCCGCATTTCAATATTTTCTTTTGATTTATTTACGGAACAAAGTTCTGTGACGAGTACATAATAAATGGTGTATACATACATAAGTGAACAAACGTATTATTCATTAGATCCGAATCTTTTGAACTCAGGTTTATTGAAACTATCGATAGCTAGGCAATAAACCAAAAATACGATTTTACAATAAGTAGTTACTCACAGTCTAGCTTTGGATCTTTTTACTTCAATACTATATCTCTTTTCTTAATTAAATCTTTCATACCCTTTCATTTGCTGACTTACCTTCATTCTCTCCGACAACATCCACGTTATCCATGCATCCGCCTTTTCCGTTTTCTTATCTTTCCTATCGGCTTGTTCTTCTTTCTAATCCGTACTTGCGCAGATGCTACATCGAGAGTGTTGTCTGTATCGGAAGAAAGTTCAGATGATGAGGTTTTGACAACTTGGGGAGAATTGTCGCTGTCGTCATTATTTTTGGAGGACATGCTTGTTTTCTGGTTCCATTGGTCGATAATTCGTTGTATACGCCTGCTACGGTGAACACGCCTACGCTTTGTTGTAGGCGCGTCAACAGTTGAAGTGAGAAAGGCGTCGATCTTTAGCTGATGCCTTTTCGCTGCTGCGTCCTAGAGAGTTTTACAGAACAACCTCATCATGAATAATTGATCAGAGATGTGCAGGAATAATTTGAAAAGGAATGCATCATAATTCACCTTTTGGAGCGTCATGTTCTTAATGACTGGAACGACAGTAGCGTCTACTTTGTCTTCTGGCCACGAAAGATTGCGCATAAGAAAACTTTTTGTTAAAAGCAAATGTGATCAAGGAATAATATTTAGCTTTGAAAACACGCATGCCATAACATGTGAAATAGTCAGAGGATACTCTCGTAGAGAATCGAGATCTGGAAGTCCCCATTCAAAGTGCGCTTCTGAATCATCTACTTGTGGTCGCATATACGCGTCAAATACGCGTCTATCTGGGAAGTCTGTGGACAGGAAGAGATCCTTCTGTTTCTTACGCTGTAACAAGCCAACAAATTGTCAATGAACACATTCTAACTATTCACAGAAAACCGAAGGCATGTTATATCCCAATGGCATACAGTCACGGATAGCATTTTGGCTATCCCCATTGCGTAAATTGGTATATGACATAGATGCAACATAAACAGTTCGCTCGTTGAAACACTACTTACGAAATTTCTCTTGAACTCACTTTCCTTTACCCCGCCCTTATCTCTTCCGTTCTGCACCTCTATCCACCAGTCCCTAAAACTAACTAGCACATCTTCTCCTTGGAACTCGTTTAATATTTCCATGGCGGTAACCACGCCAACTCCTTGTAATCCTTCCGCATAATCACTTCCCAGTAAGAGTGCCATTATTATCAACTTCTCCCTATCCAAATGCAACTCACGCTCTATATCCGAAGCAAGGTAACATTCGACATATTTGTGATTATTGAACATGTTCTTATATACGCGACTACCACCGAATAGAAAGACATCGCAATCATCACTAACGATGGCGTCCGCGAGCGAAAGCCGACATAGTTCAGCGCACTGAGCTTCGGCTTCCATCGGAGCCACTATATACGGAATGCCAAATAGGCGAAGTAAGTGCTGGTTAGGTGTGATGGTGAGCAAAGGCATGAATTAGCAATAGTACCATACATATGAATCGAATATAATTAGTGAAAGAATCAACATCTAACTTGGCAATCATCAATCATCGTCTGCGTGATATCATCGGCAATTCGTCGCTCACTTCTTTGCTTCTCATCCAATTGTTGTAATTCATGGTCTAGTTCTCGCTGAACGGTACCCAAGTCTTTATTTTTAACTTCCGATATAAACCGCGCGAATTCGGTGTTTTCTTCGTTCAGCCGGGAAGGTATCGAGTATTCTTCGTCATTCGAGGCGGCATAGTTGTCAAGGTCGCCTTCATCTTCGGAGGAAGAAGAAGCGGATGAGATAGTGGCAACAGAGTCTATATTGGATACAGCCTGTTTTGTGAAAAAAGGTGACTCGACTGAAAGGTTACGAGTTAAGGGTGATTCCATATTTGGAGTTTGGACAGTCGCGATGGATGGTACTTTTTCGATGGATGTTGTTGATTGTGGTATCTCGGTAACGACCTCTTCCATATCGCTATCATTAGAGCTATCTACAACGCTACAATTCCCTACAAAAGACGTCCTCGTAATTTCCGGTATGGTGACCGGACTATCAGAAGCTATGATATGATCGAATGGCATGCTCTCTTGCGCAGAAAATTCTTCTATAGACGTAACCTCTATAGCATTTGATGAAAACAAAGACTTTCCTTGTGACAGGGAAGGCAAATCTCCCATATCATCATCAGATTCATCAAGGATTATTGGCTTCATTCTGGAAGCTCCATCATCACTTGCCTGAGTGACAGAATATACATCGACACTTTTGCCTTTCCATGAACTGGTTTCGACCATCGCTTCTTCTGTATCTTTCGCAGCGCCTTCCAAATTATCTACCTTTTCAATCTTTCGCCGCTCGATTATTGCTTTTAATAGACACTCCCAATACAAATATGCGTACGTTTTACAATCCCCATCCTTCATTTTGCCCGATTTTTTAGTGACATTATTGAGTTCACGTTGTAGCTCTTCCGTATTCCATTTGTATATTGCGTCATGTATTAGTATTTCATGATCAGGATATTCAGCAGTGAATGAATTCGGTGCACGCGAGATCCAAATGCCATAAAAGGTATCTATAGGCAGGTCAAGCTCTTCGGGAGACCAAGCGAAATTATTAGAGGTCACAATTTGCGGACTTTGAGCAGGCGAGGGTGGTGCTGGTGAACTCGAGGGCGAGATTGACCGAGCGTGAGTATGCGAAAGGGTATCGTCTTGTTCTAATCGTCCAAACTTAGCCATGACCGATGAAATACTTTCGTCTTCATGAACATACGCAACAGGATTTAACAAGAGGTTTTCCCTATCGTATATTACGACATCATCTATTTACAGATATATGGAAAATATAAATAAACGATCACAAACGGTTCGAATATTGTTATATATTTACCGATCTCCTCAAGTGTGGCTTCACCTTCCAGTGAGCCTTCATCCAATTTCTTTGACAATACAACGTCATTGCCGCCGCCGCCGTCGTCGTCGCTGATGACTTCTATAACTTCACTAGTTCGTCTGCTCACCGTCAGTTGAATTAATAGATATCGAATAAAAGGGCAATGCATCACCCACTCACTTATCAGTATGTTCGGCTTCTTCCCATTCGTCACTTTTTTCATCTGAACTCGTATCCACTTCGACTGGCTCAGCCTTTGTGCCCGCTGCTTTGCTTCCTTTTATTCCAATAGTCCAACCCCCCTTATCGCTTGTGTTCTTAATCAAAATATATTCTTTATTTCGCTCGGAAGCAATTTTCACAGGATTTCCATTTGTTGAATTAGATCCCAAACCAGTAACGTCCAACAGCTTTTGCGTAAGTGAGTTCCTATGAACGAGATTTTCTATTTGCAATTTGGAGAAATCAAGAGCGGTGTTTTTATGATTGTCAAGGTAAGCCGACTGAAGAAAAAAACAAAAACGAATAACCTGAATGTTATGAAGTCATGATAAGGATATTGGTGCCATCTTGACCATGGTATTCAAGCGATGCCAAGAAGTCCGGCGGCTTTTTAACCGTAGCTCACTAACGATTTCGTATTGCGTTTCGATTGGAAGTGATCGGAAATGTTCAGAGTCAATGTCAATGTCTTCTGTCTGGTTCAGATCGAGTATAACAAGCAATAAGTCAAGAAGTGACAACTGAGAGGAATCGCGCTGTATATAATCAAAGCAGATGAACAAATTTCGCTTTAACCTTAAAGTCTTCAATGTATCTCCTAAGATCGTCCTCTGTTGCAAATCGAAGATCATCTTTCTTCGACAGCGATCTGTCAATGCGTACTTGTGAATAAGAGTCTGTGTTAAGATGCTCAAGCATTGAATCATATTTAGAATTCACTTACTCAAAACTTTCTTGCATCGGGGGTAAGTCGTATTCATCATGCTTTTTTTGTTTATATCTTTGATGTGGTGATAAGTTTATCTCATCATAATACACAACGTTATCAGGTATATGTCCTATGTTTTGCTTCTCATCATTTCTAATTTATTCAAAGTAGATTCGGCGTATCAAACAAAGCAATCTTAGCTAAATCTCAAAACGTACATGTAATTAGACCTTTCATTTAAGATCTTACATTGTCCCTTCAACTTCCTGAATAGCTCTTAAACGCAATTGGGAAGCTAGCATCTTTTCAGCAGTCTTTTGCACAATGTTGGCTGCTCCTTCGCGCCTTTGACGACGTTCAGCCTAATCGTGCATAATCATTTTACTCCACAGTTCAGACAGACATATTGAAGACGATTTATAGTATTTATTTCGATCACTAACCACTGTGCGGCGTTTAAGCGCTGGCACGCCTCCATCAAAGACAAAGATAGGTTTTATGTTGAAAAATAACAGTTTACAAATTCGTCGAAAGAAACCGAGTATATGAGCATTCTTAAGTACATTGCCTTCTTTATCTCGCATAGCCTTTAGGAATTGGTGAAGCCATATACTAGCATGTAAATGGAAGCACATTAAGGACATTACGTAAAAAAAATTGAACGATATTGCAAAAGAATTCCTTTATTATTCAACTTATAGTTAACGAAACAGCTTTATCACCAAAACTGCATTCAGTGCGAACGTAAAAATACCGCAAACGTTACTTTCTAGTGAGAATTAGAGAAAAAGGATATCTATAGCGAGTATCTTATCAGAAAGATCTTCGAGTTTAGTAGGCCGTCCAACAGGCTCTAATAAACTCCACAGACCCTTAACACCCATGTCGAAGGGGTTGAAAAAGTACAAAGTTCAAGTACAAGCGAAGCGGAAGTGCGGCGGAGCTTTATTACCCAATTGGCTTACAATTTGTATTTACCAAATCTGGAAATAGATTATCTCATACTGATACTTTACTACCCGGCTACAACAGAGAAATGGATCACATCTTTTTATTCGTGATATTGACACCGGAATATTAAAATCTCCTGGTTGTAACGGATGATTTGTTGTCACTAAAGACAATCGGCTTTCAAGTTGTGATCTGTATCGCGATTGTATTATTTATCTGGTGGAATGTCCTTTTCGCTGCAGCATATGAAGTTTTCAGAAAACGACATTAGCGTAAAATATTTGTAAATAACCATTTATTGTCATAATTATGTTATAGAGATATGATAGACTTAATCCGCTATAGACACTACGACTCCTTTAATGGAAAGAGACACTTTGACATGTCTAATTATAATATGGTTAATATAGTGATTATAGCTTGTACCACCGTTTACTGATTAAACACCTTTGCTGATGTTATCGTCGTTTTTTTCCGAATCCTGTTTTTTGGTTTGCATTTCCCAATCTTTTTGCAAATGCCCGACGACCGCTAATAGTTTTCTCGATTAATACATTAACTTGCGCCATCAAAAAATTTTGATTTCATTTCTAGTACCTCTATGACCGGGTGGAGTCACAAAATGCTCTATATCTTGCCATCTGCTTTCATTTTGGTCAAGTTCATCTGGACTTGGCTCCAGGATTGTGTAATGCCGTGGACGGGCATGAAACACCACACCCGAATGAGGTTCGCGTCCTAAATTTGGTAATTTGCAGGAAATAATTTGATCAGATCGTAAAGATTAAATTAAAAGATATGAATATATACCAATAGGAGGTAAAGTCTTTAGGCTGCGTCTACCCATTGCTGATATTCAGAAACACTTCGTTCTTTGGCAAGGCATGCCATCGCTTTTTTATTCTGATTAGCGCTTCGTCATGATGACTATATCTTTAACCAGTTTAACACACGTGAACCAAACAATTTTTCGAGATCAACCAATCGAAATAAATTTAAAAGCAGAGCTATTATTAATTAGCATAGTATATCAGCTTTTGGGGAATGAACGGTCGAGATAACTACGAACATCATTTTGGCGTGTACGCCTTTGATCAAAAAGTATCGTTAGTGGACCAAAATAAGTGGGACCCAGTCAAGTTTAAGGATAACTGTTTAGGCTTGGTGTCAAAATTTAATGTTAGCAACAGCGATGAAGGAATCAAACCACCTGAATTTGATTACGAAAGCATTGACACGTACAAAGTGAGTAAAGAAACCTTATTGGACGTGTGTGCTTTCGAATTTATCTTTGATATGAACGTTCTCCTTAGATAAAAAAGAAACTCCGCGAATCGTGGTCAGAATGTAACCGTATGTGATTGTTTCTGTGGTTTTCAGTTATTATTTATCATCTCATGGCAGTTTTCGATCTTATAATTCAGAGCGAAGATTAGACGAAAAAGCTTTTTCCGAACTGCAAGGCCGATTTTTTTATTATTTAAATGAATATCAAGACATTCTGTTTACGAATCGCACGATTCACAACTCACTTGAACTCAGACGGGCTTATTTACTACATATCGTGAATCATATTCTCAAGTAAGTGTGCAGTTGTAGACGGCCTCATTATACGTCAATTAACTGATTCCAAGATTTGTAGAACAAGAAACGTTGTTTTAAAGAATAACGAGAAGATTGCAAAAAATGTCGGAAAAGATGTCGAGTATCGTGATCAAGGGTTTACAAGACCCAAAGCATTGATTTTACTACCTTTTCGGAATTCGGCTCTAGACATCGTCGAGATTCTAACAAGTCTGCTGAAAGATCAGCAACAGGTACGGGAAAAAGTGATTGTGAGTTTAACGTATATAAACTTTAGATATCAACATCAGCCATGATCTAATAGGAAAATCGCAAGAGATTTTCAAAAGAATTCGGTACAAATTTCGATGAAGAAGAGATTGAATCGACTAAACCAGGTATACGCATTGCGCTCCATTAGTTCAGTTGAACTTTGACATTTCGTGTTAACTTAATCCTTATATGTAGCGGATTACGTGGCAACATTTAAAGGAAACATTGATGACATGTTTCGATTTGGAATTAAATTCACTCGGAAAACAGTCAAACTTTACACAAAGTTTTACTCATCCGATATTATCATTGCATCTCCGCTTGGTCTACGAACAATAATAGGAGGCGAAGAGTAAGAATAGTTTAATGCAACTTTATAGTAGTATATTTTTATTCTTGGTCAATCGTATTGATCAGAGCCACTTGACAGAGACAGAAAGCGCGATTTCGACTTTCTTTCTTCTATAGAAATCGTAGTATTGGATCAGTGCAACGCATTTCTTATGCAAAACTGGGATCATATTGAGGTGAGCATTCAAGTGAAAGGGGATTGACATGAACTATTCTGACGCTTACTGTTTTTCTAGCACATATTTGAGCATTTGAATTTGATACCCAAAGAAGCACATGATTGTGACTTTAGTCGAGTGAAGAATTGGTATCTAGATGGTAGGTTCGTAAAACCAACAAGTCATATCACATTCTCCTGCTATATTGGTCTAACAGAACTGAGCCTAACTGCTTTCTTGTGATTCATCGTGCGTAACGGTAGAAGCAAGTATCTTCGTCAGACTATTATTCTTTCTGACTTTTTAACACCAGAAATGAACAGTCTGTTTAATAAACGTATGCTGAACATTGCCGGAAAATTGAAGATAAGGCAAACTTATGAAGGCGCCATACTAGATGTTATTCCTAACGTGAATCAGGTAATTGTATGTGTCTTGCCGGCAAAAATGGATGGAATCTAATCTTTTATTATTTTTAGATCTTTATTCGAGTAGACTGCTCGTCTATGCAGGAGGCAGATGATGCGCGGTTTAAGTATTTCATTGAGAAGACATTCCCAACTCTGCGTCAGATGTATAAGGCTCATTTCGCAATATTTATTCCATCGTACTTCGACTATGTGAGAATACGAAACTATTTTCAGGATAACGAGTATTCGTTCACAAGTTTGCAAGAGTATGTATGACCATTACCATCTTCATAAACCGTATGATTGAATCTATTAATCAATGGCATTCCATAGTTACTCTTCAGGTTCAGATATCGCAAGGGCTCGTGGTCATTTCTTTAACGGTCATCGAAGCTACTTGTTACTTACGGAGCGATTTCATTACTTCCGAAGGTAGGGTATAGAATCTCTAATCTTGATTCATTACATTATGAGAATAACGATATCTATTACTCTGTAGATACGTAATACGAGGGATTCGGCATATTCTATTCTACGCTCTTCCTGATCATAGTCATTTTTACTCTGAGCTTGTGAATATGTTATCATTAAAGGCTGGTAGTGAGGAAAAAGAAGACGAGGCCATTAGCTGTCATATTTTGTTTACTAAATACGATCAGTTACGCATGGAAAGAGTAGTGGGAACAAATAGAGTTCAGCGTATGATTCAGAATGAAAAAAATGTCTTTTTGTTGTCATAAATAATAAAAATGTTATGGAATGTAATAATACACCGTTGTAATCGAACCCAAGCTTATAATTAGAATTTAGAGTCTTCATCTAACAACTCAATATTTAAGACATTTTCTAACTCTTTTATAGCTTTTCGAGAATTTCCCAGTTCAACTTCTTCATTCAATGTTTTAATTAGTAAAAGTGACCAACTTGTGAGTAGATTAATAACATAATACACAACAACTTACTTATAGTCTTCATTCCTAATTCACTGGCAGATTTCAAGTTACTGCGGTTGTATAACGTTAATAGGCATCTTCAAAACAATTGCGGTTACAAATATAAACGGATAAAAATGCTTACATTCCGATGTCATCCAAAAATACAGCATCGCTTGGCTGTATTGCAAGTTTCTCACAGGCATACAAAAAAAATCGAGGATCAGGTTTCCTATTGAAAAGGGTCAGCACCTACTGGCGATTCAACAGATACAAACAGACACTTATGATCTTGACCTCAATCCCACAACACTCGATTCTATAAATTCGTCAAAGATATTCTTCAACTTCTCTGGCGCATCACCAAGCAAGCCAACAACATCTTTAGGCAGAAAGAAGTTGTTGGTGAGGGCCGCAAGTTTGAATCGATTGCTCGCTCGAAGTTTTTGTAGAGCAGAGAAGACCACAGGATCAACTCGTGAGGCTTCTGCCATCATGGCACGAAAAAGTTCTTTGCCGTCTATTATGAAGGAATCAGATAAACTTCGGTCTGGAAAAATCTCTTCTGGAACTGTTACATGCAAGTTTGTCAAATCTGTTGGTGAGAATGTGGAAGGCAATATGAATCATTATCAACACCAACCTTTTTTCAAACGCCGATATTCTTTGTAATATTCGAAATTTTTTGGATCAGACAATTCTTTTCCAAAGAGATCGTAGAACGCGTTAAGATCTAATTCGCCTCTTTCCAAACGCTTCGTTACGAAATTACACAAATTAAATTCAGTACAAAAATATCTGACAATAGCAAATACAATCCAACCTGAAATGCGCCATTCTCTCCACGGTTTACTCTACATAAATGGACCAATTTCACTTGAAACACAATTCTCATGTAATTCTTGGATCAAATAACCAACATACATAGCCACATTAATGTAATTAGGCGGTAAACCATGCTCGCGCTCATATTTCGCAATCCCTTGAAAGGGAGAGCCCACACATACACCGCCTATGTCGAATATTACTGCCTTATACGCTGGCATGCTGTGATCTTGTCTATGTCATTCTCTCAAAAGTGGGGGGAATGTCATAATATTTGGCCAATGATTATTCAGTGCATAAGTGACACATAATTATTATGTTGGTAATAATATTCAGATCTGAAAATTGCGAATACTCAGGCGTTGAAGAGAACAATAAAAAAGGCTGACTTTAAATACTATTAAATTTTCTTAATTCTGGGATTATTTTTTCATTCTTCCCATTGTTCCCATTCTCCCCTATCCCCCACAACACACAGACATGAAAAAGGAAGTTTTGATCAAAACCAGCTTATTTATATCATACAAACGAAAACCACTATCCCGCTATTCTGGAATTGAGCTATTCCGCTGATATCGTTGTTGAATAATAGTCATGACACACATATCACTATGTCAGCATGTTGGATTTCAACACCTATTTAAAGTTTCAATATTAATATTGATATTAATATTTCTAATTATCAATCGTCGCACAAAATGCTGTGTTTGATGACGTCACAATTAAATTCATCAAATATCTAATCAAATTTATATTAAATCCTCCTCTCGTCGGTTTTGTCGTTCTATTCAAGATGGTGAGTCATCCATCAACTTGTTTGTATTCAATCAGCAAACGACGTAAAGTGGTCAATTCTCATTTAACAATCTACTTTTCTGGTCGCTCTTAATACAGCCAAAGCAAATAACAGACATTAAAGAATTTCTTAAGGTCGCTATAAGGAAAAGCGCAAAGTGTATGTACCGAGTCTGATTAGAGCCGAATTCTCCAGAGTATCATAGATTTACCCAGCGTCGGTCTCGGATCGGGTTTTTTTCTGATCGATTATGATGTTTTCCCCGTTATTTTAGCCGCCCGCATTAAAAAGAATGGAACGAAGACCAAGTTCAAGCTTCGATGCTCAAAATATTTATATACACTCGTTATGGACGATTTAGAAAAGGCGGAAAAATTGAAGAAATCGCTTCCACCCGGTTGGGATCTTTTCCTTTTTGAAATTAAGATTTTGTTATAATTTTAATACTGATGAATCTTCTGAACCAGGTCTTGAGGTCACTGTTGTCGGGGAACCCAAAAAGAAAAATAAATGACAGTCTTCTTTACGTCAATATAATACACGCTTTTGGGTTTCGTTTACGTACGCTTGGCATCTACAAAAGTCTAATAAATAAGCAGTCATCTTATGTGACTTTTCACATCCATCATGATGTCGCCAACACACTTAATTGAGTGATGTCAGGATTATTTTAGTTTGTAATGTATAACATTGTTACAAAGCTGCCGTCTCATGCCAAATAGCGTGTTGGGAAAGACTATATTATTTTGTGAGAACTGCTTTGAAGCATCTATCGATATGTAACCCACGTTAATTAGGCGATTTCTCATTGGTCGTTTAGATCGCTATTAAAAAGCATAAAAGTAGCCAGTCTTACATCGTTTTCCAACATGACCATGATACATGGATACTTTAGATTCCATAAACCTGCACCACATGATTTGGGATCCGCCAGATGTAGGATTCCGAGAGATTTCATGAAAAGGAATAATATCACCACAGGCCAATGGATCAAAATTGAGGACAACGATCGGGTACCATGCTGTCACAAATAGTCAGAACAACTAAAAATTCTTTGCTCATAATGCTAAACGGGTATGGTATATAGATAGTGTACGCTTGCGTATGGCCTATCGATATAGCTGAAGATGACATTATAGAGATAGACGATTTTGTAACGAAACCAAAAGTTTCTCCTGATAGAGAACATCCATCACACAATAGTAAGTAAATATCTTATTATATCAGCTACCGAATGGACGATACGTTCAAATACCAAAGCATTATCGTTAGTAGGACGTTTGTATTCCATATGTCCTATACCACGCTTCCCACAGGTTGCGAAAGAGTTGATTGTTACAGCTGAAATTCATCATCCCTCAGACTTCTACACCTCAAGTAGAGAATGGAGGGAATTCCAAGAGTTTGGATTCGTTTGGAGAAACGCCTCAGAGGAAATGAAGATTGAGGTAACATTTTTTCCCCGTACGAGTAAATTGAGAATGTCTAAGATTATCATGAAAACTTTTATGGGATAGACCATTAAAGGACGACTGGCCGGTCTTTTATTGATTGATGGGTGTATTGTTCAAGATGAACGGAAGTGCTTGATAATAAAGGTACGAGGATCAATGCAAGCGTTTTTGTTTGAAGACATTTTCTAATTCGTTTATTATAATCAAGATACAATATACAACACCATCAAACGTTGAGGTGCTGATCACACCTGCAACTCAAATAAAGTTATCTGCTATCGAGGAGGAAGATGCTGTATTTGACGATCGAGAGATATCCTCAATTACGGACGCGTTTTTTTCATTATCGCTTAAAGAGCAAACATCTTACCAGCCCATAGCTGGTCTCGAAAAGGCCTACGAAGCCTTGTATGAGGTTATAAGTTACCCACTTTTGTATCCTGGCTTATTTCGGAAAATAGGCGTCGAGTGTCCGAAAGGTGAGAATAGGTCTTGAAGACAGAATCGAGTATAGAATGCGTATGTATATATTTATATTTATTTACCGTAATACAGGGGTGCTATTGTATGGGCCACCAGGAGTCGGAAAAACTTACTTAGTGTGTGCAATCGCAGAAGCATGTAAAGCACAATTGGTATGTATAATTAGGAAGTCTGTAAATGGGTAATCAGATCGATTTTATCTAACTAAATATCAGATTACGTTCCATGGATCAGATGTCCACGATCAATATGTCGGCGAAAGTGAAGAAAAGCTTCGCGAAACGTTTGCGGAGGCGAATCGTATAACTGTTGCAGATACTAATAAAGCAGTGATTATATTTATAGACGAATTGGTAAATAAAACTATTGGCAAACCACAATCACCATCGACCACTAATTTATAGATTTACTTCATCGCAGGATACACTTGCTCCCCATAGGACGCAAGCCAAATCTCATGAATCGCGTATGGTGGCTCAACTTTTGACCTTGATGGATGGTATAGAATCACGAGGGCGAACAATAGTAATCGGAGCGACCAATCGTCCGAATGCTGTTGACCCTGCGTTAAGAAGACCCGGCAGGTATGTATCGTATATTTTGTTGACAATTGTGTCTAAAAATGTAACGTTAAAATTTCCATGTCTGCACAATTAAGACTAGACCGTGAGATTGCTGTTGATGTTCCGAACGAAAAGGCTCGTTTTGACATATTAAAATCTATAACAAGCACAATGCCGATTGATTCTAGTGTGGCCTTGGGTATACGATTATCAAGATGAGAAATTCAGTCATGGTCTACTCATTTTCTCAGTCTCTGATATCTTTATATGTTTCTAGAGGCTTTGGCTTCAGTTACAAAAGGATACGTTGGTGCAGATTTAGCCTCGTTATGTCGCGAAGCCGCTATGAACGCCATGAATCGACACACTGTTTGCGGATCTGAAAAGTAGGTTTCTTTTTTCTAATATGTTATAGATGGTAACCAGCAAATTGATCAATATAAATTTGCAGACAGATTAAAATGACTGATTTTAAATCAGCGATGTCACGCGTAACGCCCTCGATCTCTCGCGGTCTGCAAGTGGACATAGAGCAAACGACATGGGATGACATTGGCGGATTGGAAGAAGTGAAAAAGGTCTCTATTGACTTCTTGCCTGTAAACTGGTTCATTGATTTTAATTGTTTTTTTTTTTTAAATATCACTTTTTAGAAACTGCAGCAATCCGTTACATGGCCGATCAGCTATCGAAATGCGTATGAAAGATTAGGACTTAAACCATCCAGAGGAATATTATTATATGGACCACCGGGATGTAGTAAAACTAGCTTAGTCAAGGTTAGTGTCAAGAACGAAACCGACATTCAATTACCTGTTCACGAATAATTTATACTGTTGTTTTCATATACAAATTTTATTTATGCATGTACACTATCATCCGCTTGATACCGTTGCTCATATCCCAAAGGTAATAGCAACAATTTCCGGAGCTTCTTTTATTTCAATCAACGGAGCCCATTTATACTCCCCGTATGTTGGCGATTCCGAAAAAATAAGTACGTATGTTGCTATGATGGAGTTTGCGTGCAGTTAATAATGATGACACTCCAACTGTTTGGTTTCACAGTAAGCTCCACTTTTCAGCGGGCACGCTCTGCCTCGCCGTCGATTGTATTCTTCGATGAAATTGATGCGATTGTCGGCAAAAGATCGTTTGATAAAAGCCATGGAAGAGATAGCGTGCAAGAACGCATTTTATCTATGCTGCTTAACGAGATGGATGGGATTGAAGGGGCAAGCGGTGTGCTAGTCATGGTAATTTTACATTTCTGTTATTGCTCGATTTTGGTACTTTTTGCGTGAAGTAACTGTGATTTTTAATAGGGAGCTACTAATCGACCCGATATGATCGATGCTGCCTTGTTGCGACCTGGGAGATTCGACAGATTGATATTCGTAGGTTTTGAATTGCACAATCTGTAAAAAATGCATGTGTTAGTACTCAAATCTTTGCAATAAAAGGTGCCCCCGCCTGATTTAGAGGCGCGTCGTCAAATTTTACGAATTCATACGCTAAATATGCCTCTAAGCAATGACGTTGTGTTGGATGACCTGGCTGAAAAGGTAGATATTTGATTTGGGATCTTTATTAGGCACACATGTAGTTGACCCCGCTGATTTACTGTGTTATAGTATTTATTGTTGTTTACACAACCACAAGATATGCTTACCTGCTTATTGTTTAATTAGACCGAATTTTATTCTGGGGCAGATTTGAAAAACTTATGTCGAGAAGCGGCAATGATTGCATTGCGAGAAACGATTTCGGTTCAGAGTATAGTATGTTTAATGTCAAACTGTGTCTGTGGATTGATTTGTTGGTTTTTTAATGTATTCAAAGGCGTTTTACTGTACAGGAAATGAGACATTTTTCAGAGGCAATGAAGAACGTCCAACCATCCTTAACACTGGAAGCATTGAAACAATATGAAGGCGTTGGATGATTTTAATCATAAATACTGTACAAATTAAAATGCATTAAATAACAATTTTATAACCAGTACACAATATGTAATCCAATAAGCATAATTTGGCGTTAACATTTCAAACACTAATGCTATCGTTCTTATAGCTAAGCCAACTAAAAATGACACTTGAATATACTACGGAAGCAAAGCTTTCATTTGATCCTCCCAATCTTCTGGGACTTCAAGTTCCTCGTCAACTAAACCAGTTCCTTTTGCTAGCGTCGAATCGTCAAAGGCGTTTGCTTTTGCAAGCTCGTTATCAATCCAATCGTCTAAGAAATTAAGTAACGTTAGCTTTCATAGCATAAATAAGTTTGCCATCGTCAAATTACTAGTTTGAAAAAACCACCTGAAGCGTCGCCAGACTTATTTGCATCAAATAATACCTCGGCTCCGTCCTCCTGCGTCGGCCAAGCACACATGTATTAATAACATCCTTAATCATATAATTAGACCAACAAAGCAAAAGATCAATAATACCTTGCCCGTCGCCTTCTCCTTTGACGTGGAATCTGGAGATTCTTCCTCACTCTCGTTATCATCTTTATGATAAACTTCCTTCTCTAACACAACGGCATCGATAGATCCTAACATAGTCTGCTTTATTAGCGATACACGATAAAAGTAATTACGCCAAAACATTTCCTCTTCGATCCTGCAAATATGTTAGAGGACAGTGGTTAATGATTATAATACGTTTATGTTATTGGATACAAAAAAGATTCGCCTTACTTTGCAGGAACAAGCTGAAAACGCAGGCGACTCAGCACAGGATCATGTTCCAGTACAGCCATGGCCGTAGCTGAATGTACGGCCATGTCAAATTGAAAACTAGTATTTTCAGGCGGTGGCATTGTAAGATTACGAACATCCTTATAGATTGATAGTAAGCTTCTGTTAAATCAAGAAGAGACGCATACGAAAGGCGACATTTCCGAATACCTTTGATAGAGCCAAGATCTGTTTCTTCATTTCCTCCTCTTCTGGTAATCCTTCCCAAGGAGCGACTGCCTCTATTATTTCCATAAAAAAAGTATCGAATTGTAGCACGTTTATTAAATCACAAAGTGCATTCAAAACAAAAACCTTACGTGTTCCAGCCCTCGACACTTTTGTTTCTTCTTTCATTGAACGAACAAACTGCTGATGTTCACTTTGAAAATTCTTTGTGGTTTCCTCGACTCTTTGTCGAATCACACCCGTTAAAGAGCTAACACTCGTCAAGGCCGAAGAAGCAAGCACTATTATTAAAAGGACGATTAGGAATGTTGATAAAGTAGCCAACAATTGAAACAGTACAATAAATGTTTAGCTTTTTACAAGATAATCGCCTCGTATGTTGATTCTGTGGCATCTGTTCTGAAACATTTTTCACGGCGCCTTGGATGTCAATGCTTCTCATTGCTTCGTCGACATTCTTTAATGCGCCTTGTATATCTATATTCTTGACTGCATCTTCTGCATTCTTTATAGCACCTTGAATATCAATCTTCTTCACAGTCTCAGAGAGCCCGATATTCTTTACTGCTTGCGGTAATTCAAAGTTCTTTACTGCTTGCGGCAACTCCATGTTCTTTACTGCTTGCGGCAACTCCATGTTCTTTACTGCCTGTGGCAACTCCATGTTCTTTACCGCTTGTGGCAACTCCATGTTCTTTACTGCTTGCGGTAATTCAATGTTTTTGACTGCTTGTGGTAATTCAAAGTTCTTGACTGCCTTTGGCAACTCAAAGTTCTTGACAACGTTCGAAAGATCCATTGGCTCGTGTGGCTATATAATTAGCGCAAGATGTGGAATGAGGTCTTTCTTGCTGCGAGTTACAATTTTTGATCAAAAACTAGTACCACGCATGTCACGAGTTAGCTCTCAGCAATGTTTCCATAAATATTTAATTTTAATATAGTTTACCAAGGATCGCGTGATCAACCCGATTCCTACAATGAATGAGAACTTTATGATGCGTTTTTGGAAAGGGGCGAATCTTCTGTACTCTTGTGCGATTTCTAATCACTGATCTCAGATAAAAATCGCCTTTATTCCAATTGAGACAATTGAAGACATACATTCGAAGAGAAATGCCCGTTAAAACGTTAGACGATGAGGCAGATATTAAAACTTATATTAGCAGCGATAAATTGGTGAGTTTTTCTTTTTGTCGTAGATGACGTTCATCTCCAATCATCGAAATCGACAGCGGGCAACATGTTAATACATACTCTTCTATCGATAACAGACTGTGCTCGAGTGTATTGCCACGTAAGTCACTCCCGATACTTTTATACGACGATCACCCCAAAAGTTGCTCTTTAGTCATTCATTTTATTACTAACGTACGTTGTACAGCCATTGCTCATATTGCAAAGCCATAGGTAAACCATTTTCTTACAGCTTGTAAATCATGTCATTCATTCATCTGTTGCTAAACAATCAACTTTGGTAGCACCTCGCATTGATGAGCTATCCAAGCAATATCCTGATATAAATTTTATTAGCATTGATCTTGATAAATTGCTCGTAAGTAAACGATTCTCACTGTTATGGCTAAGTAATTTCTAATTCTGACGGAATAATCTGTGTGCATGTAATGTTAATCAACAGCCAACAAACCTCTCCTTCACTCCATCTGCTACGCCTACCTTTGCATTTTACCGTAATTCAGTCCTTCTTTCCACTATCAACGCTGCGTCTCTACCTACCAATGACTCCAACTCAACCTCCACACAGCCAGCTCTACTGCCTTCAGTACAATCACTTATATCATTATTTTCACAAAAGAGAAAGGAAGTTTATAACAAGTTAACAGAGGAACTTGCATTTTCCGAACAAATTGCAGCACAAGACTTGCAAAAGCTAGCTAGCACGGGAATAAAAAGTGTATTGGATTTGTGTCCCGAAGGAGGAAAAGGTGAATATTCAACTAAGAAATTGAATGAAATATATGGTCAATGGTCTAATGAGTCTAATGCATTTGATACTAGGTTATGTTTCTGATGAGAAGAAACTTTTGAGTGCAGAAGGAATACTATATGCAAACTTTCCCATTGACGTAAGTTCTTTCTTTTGACAAAATACTTTATGACCTTTGACGATAATGATTAATCTCTACGATTTTTTAGTCACCTACTGCAATCACTCACCTTACAATGAAGAAACTTGAACCTCATCTTAAGTCCCTTTCTAAACCTTTGTTAATCCATTCACCTGCTGGACTCTCAGCAGCAATAGTGTCACTGTCTTACACGGCAAAAGAATACGGCTGTGGAATAGAAGAAATTACAATGTGGGCAAGAGATTTTGGATATGACCTTGAAGGATTACCTGAAGGTTTGTATTTAGTGCTTGCTTAATACAATTTTTGTTTTGAAATCAATATTCATTATATTCTTAAACTTTATAGTCATGAGATTTTTGCAGAATTACGTCAAGGTATCTGAATGAGTAATTCTTCTTGAGACCAATTGTAAGAGACTGTAGTTAGGTTGCGAATAGCGCAATATTGGTTCCCCCCCACACATTTACTTATTTATTATTTAACTTATTATAAACGTATGAGTTTCTATTCTCTATAATTTACGCTTTTGTATTTACAATAAATCCCAAGCGCTTCATACTATGTATAATATGGGGGGTTTTGCGATTTCCTTGATAAAAAAGATATTATGTCTATGTATCGGTATCGAAATATAACTAAATAAAAAATTTGACTATCAATATCCCTAATTGTGCGCTGGATAAAGACCTTGAAACTTCAATATCATCAGTTGTTTAACTAAAATCGTATGAGAATACGTCGATAGCAATAAGTCATGTGAGTTAGCATTAAATATTTCGGTATTGCAGATTGTGATTAATATTTTACAATGCGCATAAACATCCCGGTATATACCGTATTCTTCCGAAAATAAGCAACACTTCGGAAAATTTAAACTTTTGTAAATAAACAAATAAATACTATACTACCCGAAAATAAGCAACACTATAACAAAAAAGTGTTGCTTATTTTCGGAAGAATGCGATAACGATAACGGCAAGTGTGGGCACCCTGTTGAGTAACAAATCTACAGGTGATAATGTATGTTTCCATTTACGCGCATAAATATTGAATAAACACGAACATTTAGGGTTAGACTGCTAGTCGTAACTAATCGAAATTTATAATAGACTTGAGCTTTATTATTAAGTGCGAGCCAACAGACCAGCTGCACCGCCATAAATCTGTTCATCATACTTTTTGAAGAAGAAAATATGATAGTTTTGCAAATTACAGCGTCAACTGACCCCGATAAATTCAAATTCTAATCCAAGGACTGACCAATGTGATATATGTCAGCATTTATCAGAATTGAAAGCCTGGAGGCCCAAGATCTATTAAGGGTGCCTAGCTAAAGTCAAGTTAGAGTAAAACTATTATAGTAAAATACCAATTGACAGAAGAACATAGAAAACTCTTTGAGCAAATTGTCAAAAGTATCATACTGCAGCGCGGTTGTCGTCGACAAACCAAAATTAAAAATGGTTTCGATTATGACAGCCCAAAATTAAAATGTCATTCAAATCAACGGGTATTATCTTAGTATTAGCGCACACAAAGTGCATCCAGGATGGAGTAGTACATGAATAAATCAATCACGTATTAGGTGAGAAACGAGCTTCTCTGAAAGGTGCCTAATGGTACGTCTTTAATTGGATCAAGCAACTGAAATCACTTGTGTACTTAGAATAAGAATGCAGAAAGAATGTAGAAGTAGAGTGAACATTCCGATGATATATAGCTTATTTTGGTAATCTGTAGTTATTAAGGAAGTATCGAGTTAAATTTCATGGTTCCAAATTCAAATGTGATGGAAGCTTTGAACTACTTTATCACAAGACCACAGAAGATAATGTCGCTGAGATGGTGAAAAGGTCTAGCATTACCGGACTAAATAGAGTTCGATGTGTATAACAATGGCGAAACTTTGACGGTCTGAACAGTTTTGAAGTCCACTACAAGAAGTCGTCTGACGCGCAAATTCTGGTGTGCCCAAGAAGTCACTAACGGTCATCCCAAGAATTTTTGAAGACTGAGAAAATTAGACGTATCAAGGCCTTGTCGTGTGACGATCTTGCGTAAGGTCTCATAACCTCAAACGACATTTTAGTGTATATTTTATTGTCTTTTTAATATTTCTTTCGATTTTGTACATTTGCAGAAATGATGGGATTCCAATGAAACAAAAAATCGCAGAAATTGAAATTGAAATTGAACATTGATATGATTATCATTCGAACTTCTATAAGGATACGTTCCAATTAAACACGCGGGCAAGCGTAAAACAAGTATTGTAAGAGCATTCTAACAAAACATGCATCTTGCAATATCAGTGTAATCCTTTTCTACCCACATCACTTCCTGTAGACATTTCCGAATCGGTGCTCTTTCAAATATTCGCCACCATACTCCTGGTAATCCTGAATACTAACTACGTTCTGTTTAAACTCAGCTGTTTTCGCCCAGAGAGCTGCTCCCCGCCATGCGTCTACGACCGGATCCTTTGCCGGAATAATCTGAAGTGCTGCACCTGCCGGAAGAACGGATCTAAGAGATATCTCTAAGCGTTTTGATAATCCCGGGATCTGTGTGTGGCCGCCTGTTAGGAAAACCGACTATGAGAGAGAGAGAGAGAGAGATGGTCGTGAATGGGTCCGGTATACCATTTTCAGTGAATTTGACTCGAGAGAAATGGAACAAAATTGGCAATACTAAATGATGCTTTTGCATTATTACCACCATCAAATATGAAATGCATACCTGAACCATTGTCTTCATTTCTTCTTCCTTAAATCTACTAACAACATTTGACACAGTCTCCACTAATCCGGCTTGGTCCAATCCAATAATACTGGGCTGAAACATCGCCTCAGGTACTCTGATTCTCTCAATGTTCACGTGCAATTGATGCAGTTGCGATACGTCATCTGCATCGTATGGAGGCCAGACACCATGCGTGAACATAAATACGAGGGAGTTTTGTACGGAATTCTGGGCGTCAAAGGTATGCTCGAGAAGGAAAGTGGAGTCGTATTGCAAGAGTTTGGCTTCAAGCTCGCGAAGCGTGGTTAGCTCTTCTTCCTCCTCCCAAGCATCTTCTTCACGAGACTAAAGAGTACAACAAACAACGAAAGATGAAAATTTGTCTTTGAAAAGGAAGACAAATGAAGAGCTGTCCTAACGTATGAGGACGATGACATACAATTTCCTTATAGATTTCCCAATCGTTGTCGTCCATTCCAAACGTGTCCTCTAATTGATGTTACAGAATAATGTTGATGAATAAACGGCGACTGCTCCCCAACATTCAAATAGTTAACCAACCGTCTTGTCCTCGCCGGCGTCGTTTCTGTGGTAGAGTGTCACTTGCCAAACTAGCAATCGATTTCATTCGCAATTGTGATGCATGGCTCCTTCTGTCTGCTAGCTGTTCCTTTCGGCGTCTTAATATTTTGACTTTATCTAATTGGTTCTTCAAAGGAAAATATCACGTAAGCCAAAAGCCGAATAACGACATCGGTTTTAAAAAAAAAAAAGTAAATTACCGCATAATTAGTCTTCACATTATTCAACCATCCCGTCAAATCCTTGTCTCGTCTTTCTCGTTCCAATCGTTCTTCCTCTTCCTGTAAATATTAGGGGTGAATTTTGACGTCAGATTCGACTTTTTCATTCTCGATAGTTCAATTTCACAAATACGCCACCTGTTGTTTTCTAGCCAGTTCTTTGGCTTCCCGCTGTCGCTGTCGCGATTCATGTAAACTCTTTGCAGCCAATTGCTTTCTTTTCTCCTTTCTTTCAGCTTCGCTTAATTGACTGTCTGGTATATCTACTAACGGGAATGTCGGTTCTTCCTGCGCAAGTAAGGCAATAAATATTTATACTTTATATAGTTGCAATTTGCGACATGATGTAAACCTTGATTTCGACTTCATCAATTCCGAGTAATTTGTTGCGTGCTCTTTGTATGGCTTTTTCAATTTTCTTAATAATATCGTCTAATTCGTTCTCATCATTTATTCTGTCTTCTTTTAGTCGAGCCTAGAAGTCGTAAACAAGAGGCGAGCTTTTTGAATTGCTGTAGCAAGCATGTGTATGAAACATAATCTCCAATAATAATCAGGACTTACAAGAAATTCTGATCTACGTAACGTTGACCTGCTCTCTCTCAAGTGCGTGTAATACTCCAATTCGTCTTCCTTCTCTTTCAACTGTTTATGTATACAAATTCGTCGCGTCAATTCTGTAGAGATTAATCTAAAAATTCTAAGCGACCAACGTTATACAAATACCTTTTTCATTCTCAGCTTCTCTGCCTGTTCTTTCAGTCTTCGTGATTGTTCCTGTTTCCTCTCTTCTGCGCGTGCTACTTCTTCTTCCGTTTTCTCGGTCACCTATGATAAAACATATCAATCGCCATAAAAACCCAATATTACATAAACAAAAGCAGAACACTGTCGTATCAAAAGACTGTACCGGTGCTACGTATGGGAATTGAATAACACAATCCCTCTCTGAAAACGATTCTGGTTTTGCGAATTCCTTTAATTCTTCGAAATAGTCTTCAGCTACATACGTATAATTCTGTACCAAATGCTAAATGTTGATATAATTCAATAATAAGGTTCATCACTGGTTTCCTCAATTTGACAGTAAAGTAGCGGAAAATACCTGAGCTTGTGTATGCGTCATTTTTGTTGGAAAGGTTGGGTATTTCAATTGCATCAGTCTCAGCATAAAGTCAGTCGAGGTTACTCCTCCATAGGAAATTCTATTTACATAACAAAAACAGTTATCATTTTTTAGATATCCAGATCACACACTTACCCATCCCAAATATTGACAGAACAGAAATACCTTTTCGCATGTTCCAATACTCCGCGTCCATTATATACAGGTAGAATATGGGTAGTACTATGCCTTAATGACAATACTATTCCACCCTTATCAAAGGACAACTCATTCGCGTGGAAGCTAAACAAGGCATCAATACCGTAGCAAACCGATGGTACTTGATAACATTCGAAAAGAAGTTCCGACATTTCTTCATAGCATAAATAGATGGTATATTAACAAATGAATAGATAAAATTTTTTGAGCAAGAACTGTAATCACGTCTCAAAATACAAGCTCACGTTTTCTCGAGTGGTGAGGATTACAAACGGGCTCGGTCATCAATATCGGATGTTCAACACGGCCGGTAGAAATGCCGAGCTTTACGAATATATAATCCATTATACACTCCTACAAAAACAAGATACCGCCCGTTACTAACTCTATGTTTAGCTAGCATGTTCTCGTTAATAGTTTACATCAGCTTACCATGGTTTCAAAGTTTGAGATAATGTTCCCATCAAAAGGAGATTTAGAATTAGACCTCGCCGTTACGTCAGCGTATATATCGTTACCCACGAGCAATATATTGGAATTGAGTTTACGGTCTCGATATTTTGATACGAGAGTGTCAAATTGTACTAGAATAGTCGACATTGAGGGGGGAAGAAATCAAATAATCGTGAAAATATATCGCTAGCAGAATAGGATGAATGAAAACTAATCTTACATCGCGGTGAATTTTCAGTAGCCCATCCTACTCGGCATTGGTATGATCCTATTTGTGATAATTAATAGAAAGTAACAGCGAATACATTCGATATATTCGTGGTATATGGTGTAATGTATATAACGTCTTCTTTCGATCTCGTGCAATACAAAACTTGTTGCAAGCTGCCTTTCCTTTTAAAAGACTCTGGAGTTCTTACCGACATCGACCACAAGTGGCACGCCTGAACCAAGAAACTGGCTGTCGTAATCCGTACTCGTAGGGCTTGAACCATAATAAGGACGTTCACCGATGTTGTATATCTGGTTTCCTGGTAGCCTTTCCATGACTACTGTTTTATCGATAGGGAAATAAAAAAACCGACGAGTTCTGTTCGTTGTTATCGCTTTGAGAGTCGTGTGTAAAGTCGATAAAAGTATTTAATTACAAGGAAAGTTTATGTCTTTATTGACGATATTAAAAATCTAATTTATGTGATATCTATTATGAAGACGTTGTTATTTGTACATGATATCGAAGTCATTGTTTCATTTTTTTACACGTTCGCTTTTGGAATGATTGATGCTGCGTGTATACACCATCCTACGTTTCTCTTCGGGAAGATCTTCATAAATTATTGGAGTTTTTTTCATTGTAGGGAAAATCGGATATCATGCATTGTGATTTGTTGCTGTAGACGTTGGAGCGATTGACTTTGAGAGGAGGGGGATGAATGCAAATCGGAAGATCTCGGATTTTACTCGGGCTAAAACGGTATACCATATCTAAAGTATTTAGAAAACGATGACATTTTGCAGTTTCAAATATAATCAACCGTCATTGTCGTTATTATTATATTTCACAATTGTGTGCGCGAAACCTTTACGCGTGAATCTTGTTTTCAAACCGATTGTCTAGTACTGAATGCGACAACTGTTAGAATGGTATGGCTGTAGGTAATTCTATTATCGATAGTTTGCCAGTCGATAAAACAATAATGTGAATAGCCAACTTTAACTTTCAAACTTAATTCAACCGACTAACGCGAGAATGAGTGTCAATCGAGCTGCGAAAGTGGTCTCTACCGCACGAGTCTGAGGAATGTAAATTGACAGAGACGTTATTTTTCCCACGTAAGTCAGACGTCTACTGCGGCTGCAGAAAAATAAGTCAATTATTGTATGTTATATTACACAGAAAAACTATATTTTGCTGTCTTAATGATTGCGATTTCTTTGCTATCCAAACTATCTGTTGAGCTGTTTCTTGACATTATTATTGAAGGCGACACTGTTGATAATCTACGCAATTTCCGTCGGACTATGATTTTATTTGAATTTAACAACACATGTTTGACAGGCTGTTTCTGTTATCATTCTCGATGGTGCAGTAGTAAAGGATTTCCATGTAGAAATACTCTTGTCGAGATTTCCGAATCTACGATTCCTGAGTATTCGTAAATGTCATAAATTTGGTGTTGGAGGATTTGCATGAAGCTTTTGAACGTTAGAAGAAACACATGACATTTCCAAATTTGAATGAGATTGATGCGACATGACTAATATCATCGATACGATTTTACAGAGAGATCATGAAATAGTGATTCCAATCACGAAAATGAGAACGCAATGTTGCATTGCACAGTCGTGTTGAGATGATTTAATAATATTGTTCCAAAAAAGTTTATGCCCACACGTCCTATTATTGCTATGATAATTTTCACAATATAATTGTTGGCAACATCTCATTCTAGCAAAAACAACTAGCGTTATTCACAGCCCATTTTTCGAACCCCAGTATTTCTGGACATCAAACGTTAATATAAGATTTTCGACTTTTTACATGCTTGCTTCTTTTATTCGTCACTGCTTCCACATTGCAAGATATGTTTTGCTAGTTTAGGAAATATAACAGACTATTTACGTTTCCGCATTTAAAGGCATTACTATTACAATTTCACGTCCAAATTAACGCAAACTGTTTTAAGTTCAGTGAAATTATCCAAAGCATACTTTCCGCCTTCTCTTCCAAGGCCGGATTCTTTGTATCCGCCGAAGGGTCTGTAAAATAAAGCAAACTGTTTAATGCTGTAAAAACCCTTATTATTATGAACAACGAGTGTCACCATACATACGCCGCATGACTGAACACATTGTAGCAATTAACTTGATTGAACATAAAAGAATTTGAGATTAGATTGATTTATCCAATTTCGTTAACCATACATCGGCATGTCCTATTCCTTTTCACGTACCCCAAACTGTACCAGCCTTCAATTTGTTTGCAATCAAGAAGGCCTTGGATATATCTTTCGTAAACACAGCGGCTGCAAGACCATAGTGAGTTAAATGCGCTCGTTCAATAACCTCATCAATACTTTTGAACTTGTCGATTGCAACAACTGGTCCGAATATTTCTTCTTTCATAATTTTCATAGACTCGTTCTATGTATTAAGATTTCTACATAAATTTATATAAATTGATTCAAGTTTAAAACGACTGTGTGCTACTTACGACATCAGTGAAAATGGTTGGTTCGACATAATAGCCATGATCGCCGTGTCGGTGACCTCCCATCACCAACTTAGCACCTTCTGACTTTCCCGATTCAATATATGACATGACACTAAATGATGAATAGATCATGATGTTACTACGACATCTGTACATAAGCCTTCTGTAATGGTATCAATCATCTGTCTTACCTGTCAAACTGCTCTTTAGATACTTGTGGCCCTTGGTACGTATCCGGCTTGAATGGATCTCCGATTTTTATTTTACCCGCATGTTCTTTAAACTTTTCCACAAACTTTTCAAAGACACTTTCTTCAACATATACACGCGATCCAGCACAGCAACATTGTCCATGATTGAAAAAAATTCCATTGTGTGCCCATTCAACAGCCTTTTCAAGTTCGGCATCGGCAAAAATAATGTTTGGGGATTTACCACCAAGTTCAAGAGTTACTTTTTTTAAGTTACTTTCAGAAGCAGCCTTGAGGACACTTCTACCGGCTTCAGTAGAGCCTATTTGATATGAAGACAATCACAATGATTAAACATGCCGTGGGACTACCTAACAATACTGTTAACGCGTAAACACACCAGTAAACGCGACTTTTCCTATCTTCATGTGACTGGCAATGGCTTTGCCTACATCAGGCCATCCAGTCAAAATATTGACAACTCCCGGAGGAAATCCTGCTTCTTTGATTAATCCGGCAAGATATAAAGCACTCAACGGTGTCTGTTCGGCAACTTTGAGAACAACCACATTGCCTGGTATTAAAATAAATTATACGAACCAACAAGAAAAAATTTTTTAGCCAAGACATACACGTATATTAATTAGTATACACGATGGATGAACAATGACAAAGTAAGCAGTTGCTGGGTATAACATTTACCCGTAATAAGCGCAGGTGCCAATTTCCAAGCAACCATCATAATTGGGAAATTGAACGGTGTAATAGCGCCGACCACACCGATCGGTTCTCTTCTCGTATACACCAACCTCTCATTGGGAGTATCAACCACATCACCATTCAACTTTTCGGCAAATCCGGCAAAATATTCAAACGCCCCGATAGCCGCAGGTAAGTCAGATTTCTTTGCAATTTCAAACGCCTTTCCGTTATCCAACGCTTCGATTGCTGCAATGGTTTCCAAATCTCTTCTCATGAGTTCTGCCAATTTGTACAACAAACGTCCGCGTTGTTCACTGGGAACATTCTTCCAAACGTTCTCGAACGCGTGCGTGGCGACGTCAACAGCATGGTCGACATCCTCTGCGGACGCTTCGGCGACAGTTGTAATTTTTTTGCCCGTTGAAGGATTGATGGTTTCAAACCGTTTTCCATTTTTCGATTCAACAAACTCGTTGTTAATAAAGAGGCCAGTATTTACTGCGTGTTGTTGTATAAGGAGAGAACGCGTGTCATTAACAGACGTTGGCTATTTCAAAAAGTTTAGTTATACATGACTCACGTTGCACGGTTTTGCCTGTCGGCAAGTGGATGGTTTCGAGAGTATTGACCATTATTTTCGATCTGTTCTTTTGAGCGGTAGATGATTTCTCAACGTTTATATACGTGAATATTCACACATGCATGTGAATCCTTGG